ATAGTAAAAAAAATTAATTACGATATCAATATCCAATATTCAACCAAGAAGACTATGACAAGTAAAATATTGCACGCAAGTCAAATCTTTACATATCGATACCTTCAAACATCTCAGGGACTCAATCGGTACATAGACGAGTAGTAAAACTTTTCTGCAAAATAGCAGTAAAACCAATTGTTAATTTTGTTTATTATAACCAGATTCGCGATATATTCCCCTTCTTTGATTGTGTTAGCTATTAAGGAGCGATAAAAACAGCTCCAGGTTGTACAATTGTGAGAGAGTGAAACACACACGATCATTTTCTCATTGATGAAAATTGACTGCAATTGTTTTCGGCCCATCCTGGACGGGTTTTTATTGCTGTACCTATCTTTTTTTAAGATGTAAACTTATATTTTAGCAGTTACATAATATCGTGAAACCCAATAGAGCTTGACTGGCAAGTTTTCTTGCACCACAGTAGTTGGCGGCAAAATTTTCCCTTAAGACGAAGTTTGTTGTTGTTATGCCAAAATGGATGTGGCAAACAGATGAAATTGGATTAGTTTGTCAACAGATGGAGACTTTAATTAAGTAATCAAAAGGGTCTCACCACCGATTGCTAGTCAAAAAATTCGCATCGCATCTTATTGCTCTTAACGTCGCATTTTGCAAAAGTTTGATACAAAAGATTTGCTTTAGTGATATTTTCTGACAACAGGGAACAGGGGCGGATTTAGGGGGGGGGGGGGGGGGGGTCGACCCCCTGCCGACCCAAAGGGTCCCCCCTTTGTACTATTTTGAGATATCCATATTTGGTGACGGACCCTAAAAATTTTCTAAAGGCGCCTTCGGCGCCAATGTATACTTTCTTTAAGGGAGAGCGCGCGCCAAAAAACGCAATTTTCTAAAAAGTGCCTAAAAACGCCTTTTTTGGCCTGTTTTTCAAAATTTTGCCTGCGGCGCAGAAAATTTTACTTTAACAGGGTCTTTTTACCGCTTTGGGAGAGCTCGGAAAATCAATTCGGGTCCACCTAAAAAAAAGTCGACAAAAATTTCGAAAATTTTTGAAAATCCGCCCACCCACTCGAGAAAATCCTAGATCCGCCCCTGTCTGACAACTAGATGATTTTACAAATCTTTACTCCTGACAAGACTGGATGGTTTCTGTTTTCCCGACTTCTCGAGGTTTTTTTTGTTCAGATTGCTGCTAAAAATTTGTGAATTCGAAGCAGTTTCTTCGTTATTTTGGTTGAGCTAATCGAACCATGTCTCGCAACTTCAGTAGCCATGAGTCAATTTCAAGTGTACATATTATTGTTGTCAAGTCATAATTTTGAGGAAAGTGTAGAATAAATTTTATTGCACGGGGTGTTTTTTATTGAGTCAGTGTTTGATTGTTTAACTAGCGTTTTTTAACTACCATCTGATCGATATTGTTTTCCTGAGCTCAAAAATAAAACTAAGTATTCAGCTGTGATCCTTCGTCACAAAACTATTATTGTAGTGGGACAATTTTGACGACTGTTATTCAAATTGGGATAAATAATGCCGCAATATGTTTTGTTCTATTAAAGTTTAAGAGGCAAAATAAATCCTCCCAAATTGAATTGAATCAAGCAATTTGACCTTATTAATAATTACTAAATGCAAATTATACCTTTTGCTACTTTGCGTAGTTAAAATAGTTAAAAGGGGTGCGGGCAAAAAATTAAAATCAAAACGTTTTAGAAGCATTTCAGAAGACATTTTTTTTCAAACAGTAAACTTGTGGTCGACGATAGTACTATTCAGAATATTCAAGGCTTTGTTATGATACAAAAACAGCAATCTTACTTATGTTTGACCACTGGTTTTCAGGTTTTAAATTATACTAATTATGTTTTTTTGCCGTATTGCTATATTTTTTCATTTTATGGCTTTCATTCCATTGAACTTCCGCTTGAAATAAGGTAATGCAAAGAACACCAGTGGGTGACAGCTGTGGTTCCGAGGAAATTTTTTTAACATTTTTTTTGAAAACCCCGTGTTTTTTTATTATGATACGCTAATTGGCAATTAATGGATCGCTAGGGCTCTAAAGCATGCCAAACACTTATGATTACTGTGTGTCAGAAATATCAATGAATGTTTTTTGGTATGCATTTTTTATCTTTTTGAGATAGTTTTGTGACTGCACTCAATTTTGGAAACTTTTCAGGAAAAATAAAGTTTTGCTTCGCATAACCTTGAAACTCTACCTATATGTGACAGTCAAAAAAAACACAATCTATCAACAAGTAGCTATAATTTGAAAACATAGGCGTAAAAACACATAAAACTGTGCTAATGAAGTTATTTTACAAGGCATCAGATTTTAGAACATAAATTAACAAAAATTTTGACCGCAACGGTTACGACTTTTAGCGAAAGTGAAGGAATAAATGTTTTGTGTATAATTTCCTGACATGTTTCAATTGCTTTGATTTTTGACAATATTTTTTCATATCATGAAAAAACGTTTCATGGCATGAGCTGAAAACAAAAAAAAAATCTCACGTGTGACATTTTTGGAGGGATTCGAAATTTGTCAGTTTAACAAAATAACGGCTAAAAAACTCGATATTTTTTTCCAGTTTTCAAAACAAAAGAAAATCTTTTTTTTTTGCTTCATTTTATTCGAACTTGAAAAATTTTTGTTCATATCTTTAAAACGCAATCAGAACAATTCAATAGTTGGCACGGGACCTAGGAAATTAGACGAAAAGCAAATCAGACGTGACCAACAAAGACAAATTTAGACGTCGATGCAAAATTACAAATATGGGAAACTAGACGTAATTGTATTGTTCGGGTCTGAAATTTGTTCACCGACTACAATTAACTTTCGGTCAGCTGAAATGCAAATCAAATTTTCACATGCCCCAATTTTCACATTCCGCATTTTTCACATGCCGCAATTGTATAATTTATGCATTTCAAAAATATTTTATAATCTTGAAATTAACATTTTATAAATCAATTGAGATAAATATTTTGATATGCAATGGGAACATATTTTATTTTTGTAATTAGGAAAACTTTTTTAAGCAATAAGTTTTGTTAGCCCTTTGCTTTCCGTCTAAAATGCTAGTTGTGCAAAAATCATTTAACGTCTAAATTCGTTTTTGTTGGTCACGTCTAATTTGCTTATCGTCTAATTTTTTAACCCCCAGTATTTAACGGGTATTTTTGTAATTTTGTATTTTAGTAACGGATTCAAAATTGTTCTAAGCTGGGCCAGACTGAATTATGCTCAAAGTAAACTTCTGAAATATCTTAGTTTTATCCCACCTAGAGTTTTGAAAAAAGAGAGTAGCCAAAAAATATCCCGACAACGCTTTATGATTATTACGCAATGAACGTATGATCAAGTTTCTTAAAGAGTAGAACAAAGAGTTGCTTCTTTCGTGAACTAGTCTTTTGAAAATATTTTTTAGTTTTAATAGAAGACAGACTGTGATTGTCAGGTTTTCAGTAAAACTGTAAACACAATTGATAAAACTACGTTTATTTTCATGATTTTTCAATAATTTTATAATTAATTTCCCACAAAACTAAAAATTTAATGTGTGCTACAATTTTGTTGATAGCATTCAAGGAAAAATTAGTGCCGTGACTTGATGATAGTATTGATTTATTTTTCAGACTAAAACTCAGTTAATCAGTTGAAAACAATATTTTGATATTTAGGCAAAATTCCAATCATTAAGCTCACTAAATAATTTGTAGCAATTTCTTATGCAAAAACAAGAATGCTAGTATCAGGGCAACGCCCTGATTGTTCCGACTACCCTTAAAGTAATCTCCAATAGTTTTTTGGCAAATTATGAGTTTTAGGCTGATAAAATCAAGTGAAAAAAAAGTTGCGTAAACACCCGGGAGAGCACGCAAATCCAGGGATCGATCCCCCGAGGGAGCAGGTTTCCCTTTAAAATTAGTCTGCATGAAAAAAAAACACACCGAGCATATATATCATTCATTTTCCTCAAAAATCGGAACAGTAGTTTGAGTGTACCATTGAGACAACTTCCTATTACATTGCTTTTAGAGTCCTCGATGTCACAAACAATAGAAACAACTACCATCACTTCTTTGCAGCGCGGACAATTTACGCTTGGAACGCTTATTTTCAGTCAGTTTAATAAACAACCTGGAAAATATTAATCTCCGGAGCTCGAAAAAGCCACCTGCGATCGTTTCAAATTGAATTGAGGACATTCATTTGGTCTTATTTTAAAGGCAAGAGACTCTAAATACATTCTTTTGTACTTTATTTAGAGTGAAAAGGGATAAAACAAAGAGAAAATGATAGATATCAAGCTATTTTTTAACCACAAATTTTCATTTGTCCTTGAAGTACTGTTAAAACATTCAGGGCTTTGTCGCCATGGTATAGAAGTCCTCGTTTACCTACAATGTGTCATAGGCGCATATACTTTTTCAAAACGTATCTAGAATAATTATACCACCACGTGTTTCTTGTTGTTTTGTTGACTCAAAATAGCTGAACAAACATTTTAGCTATTGTTCAAAATACTGGTCTAAAAATACCAAGAGAAAAAGTAGTGAGACCAATTTTTTGAAAGTGAAATAATTTTTGAAATATCTTTTTTTGAAATTCAAATCCTTTGATTTTTACCACACTCCGTTTCTTAAATGAGTCCTCGCATAAAACGCCCTAAACATCCCGAAATGGTCATTTGAGTACACGCTCATAATTTTTCAATTATTTCTTTCAAAAAAGAACCTGTTCACTCAAACCGATTCACATTATTGACTTGATAAAACCGTTAAGCTATAGGAAAAATTTGTTTTAGAATATTTTACATTGTTTGTCTAAAAAATTTATTACAAGAAACTTGCGTAAATGTAAATTTAAAACTAAAACAAAAACTGTACCCATTTTTTTGCGAAACTCTTCTGTTGCATTTTTAATATCAATTTTACATTAAAAAATTATGGCCGGGAAAGCTTTATTTTCAATTATTGTTGTAATACTTCAAAATTTGACGAAAAATTCCAGTCAAATAAAAATGTTTCACACTCATAAACAGGTTGCTCGTTCATTTCATTCAGACGAGAGTCACAAACATATTGCAAGCTCTGTCTTACTTTCGGTTTTCTGTCATCCATGCTGTTGGCGTATCCTCAATTAACATACAAATCTTTTTCATGGCCATGGTGTCCACCCTGACCTTGTCCTTGACGTTGACCTTGTCTTTGATACTGAGTGGGAGTGTTGGGGGTGTGTGTGTTGATAATATAGGATATCCAGTGGTAGTAGCTGGACACCCTGGTGAAGTAGCTCACAGACTCCGAACAGAAAACATTACTGAAAAGCCACATCACTCTTAGTCATGACTAGGTGTGTTGAGGAGCACGTGAAAGGTATGGACGCAAAAAAAAAACGGTCTTGAGTTGCAAAAAAGGGTTTCGCTCCTCAAAATAACACTTAGTCTGGAATGCCGGACTATGATAAGACAAGCCTGATTGCTTTTCACAGATCCTCTGGCAATCGCATAAACGTCAGTTATGATTATTGATTATTGTCCCGACTTTCGTAACGACAGTCACGGATTTTTTGTGCTTGATGTATTTTTTTTCTTCAGACAAAATTCGACTTTTTCCCTAGCCATTTGAAAATTTCTTATCATTCAAAAGGTATTGTTATTCTAAGCTTAATATTGAAAATATGTTTCACTTGTGATCATTTTTCGTAAAGTTATGGGGGGCGGTTCTAGGATTTTCTCGAGGGGGGGGGGGCGGATTTTCAAACAATTTTCGAAAATTTTCACGAAATTTTTGAAAAAACAGGTCAAAAGCTGTTTTTAGGCACTTTTTTGAAAACTTTGACAAAAAATCGCGTTTTTTTTGGTGCGTGCTCCCTCTCAAAGTTAGTATATGATGGCGCAGAAGGCGCCTATAGAACAACTTTAGGGTTGGTCTGCCAAAAATGGATTTCTTAAAATGGCTTTCTTTGGGTCGGCGAAGGGTCAAATCCCTGACTGGGGGCGTCAAACTAATGTAACGCGAATTATTTTTGCGGGGCGAATTACCCGGCACAACGAAATCGTTCCAAATTGATTTGAGGCTAGCTTAATTTTGTCTTACTAAAACTTTATAGGTTTTCAATTTGCCCTGATAGACGAGCAGTCTTGTTCCGTCTTAGAAAATGTTCCAAATTGTTTGAAGGAAGCTTAATTGCCACGAGTGATTTGTTAATTGGAGCAAAATCTAACACATTGTACTTCATATGGCATGTGAGGGGATGATTAAAAAAACTCAAAAGTTTCGCATTTTTTTTCTGTTTTTTCAAAAATATAATCGTTTTTTAAGCAAACACTGCTTCATAGGACTTAAAAGACAGTCGGAACATTCAGGGCTTTGCCTTGATACGAACAGTTTTGTTAAAGATTTACGAATCGGTTACACAATATGCTATGATAATGCTGGCCTCGCCAATTCCAGTGGACATCAAAAAGACGTAGCTATTTAAACAAGAAAAAATAGCACCCGTAAAGAAGTGTTAATCGGAGTTTGCTATGAAGAGCAAACTTGGTACTTTAACCATGCAACAAATCCAATAAATGACCAAACAAAACGATGAAAAATTTATATTGTGATCAAAACCCTTTTTCGATCTAAAGTACTAGAAAATAATAGCAGGCTCTACCGAAAGCAAAGCTATCGATAGATAATCGCAATTCATAACAAGGATAGCCAGGTTGCTGTGCAAGTAGCACAGAATGTTCCAGTTTTTCATGTTTTTCATGATTTTTGTTGGTTTTGTGAGTCATGTGATAAAAGAATCTGACAAAAACATAGAATTTAGGTATCTTTGATAGTCACAATAAAACAGGCCAATCGAGAACGATTTCAGTCAAAAGGCTAGAAAAAAACGAAAGAACTAAAACAATTGTTTTTTTTCTTGCAGTTTTTTTTGAATTTTTGAAGTTTTTATTCTCTTATTCCCGAAATAACACTAAAAACCTTCGATTTTTTTTTTACTTGAGTTAAACTAAAGTGCCATGGCTTATCCTTCTAAAATAAGCCTGCTCGCTTGCTTTACTCGCTCGATATTGAAAATAGACTCAGACAAAATTGAAGAAAAAACCTTTCTCTGGGCGTCAAGTGATCGTGCCTACCGACCCCTGGCCGTCGTTCGGCCCCAGTAACGATTCCGAAGAGACACTCGGGAGAGGATGTGCCACAGTAGGCCTTGAAGAGAGGACCCCCATCGTCCTGGGTGAACACACTACCTCCGTCTATTAGGGGGGAGCCACAAATCAAGTCCTCCCTGCACTTGCGCATGTCGTTAGGACCAATGCTAACAAAATCGGCTTCTTAAAAACAAACGGTTGTCATGAAAAACTGAAGTTTAAAATTTTAGAACTCCAAAGGGACCGCACCGAATCCACAATTCAAACCTTCGTCAGATCTTCATTTCAACAGTTTATTTAGTATACAGTGCTGATCTTCTTAACTTGGGTCAAGGTTTGACACAAAAAACTCATGAACTTGACTATGTTTTTGCAGTGCAACACAAAAAATGAAAAAGCAAAACTGTAAATCTAAAACTTTGAAATTTTTTTTTGATTAGATCGACATAAAATGATTTTGTCAGTGCAACCTTAAACCATCAGATTCTGTTAATTGAATTTCAATCATTTTCTTCATTTGATGTTCTTAAACTGGTTTCAAAAAAATTCTAAATTTTGGATTTTTGGAATTTAAATTAATACTTTGAAAAACTCCTCGCGGGCTTAAAAACAAGACAAAAATGTGCTTACAGCAATTTTCTTCTTTCATTCCTGGAACTTTTATAGAATTTTGAGTCAGTTCTCTTCATATTGGCCCATTATGAAAAAGCGCTGTTAAATATAAACCCTGTCAGCAATTAAATCATTTAAAAACAATTTAAAAAATTCAAAACGTTTTAAATTATCATAGAATCAAAATTACATAACTTTAAAATTACATAAGTTTTTCAGAAAATCAAAAACTGAAACTTTTGATCAATTCTGCAGAAAGTTTTCCAATTAATTTTTTTTTTCAAAAAAGTAAAACTATTTTCTACAGCAAACGAACTTCAACAGACTTGAAAGCTCTTTATTGATATCTTGCACGCTAATTTTAAATAAGAAACGCGGCATTCTATGACACAGAGAACAAAGGAAGAGTCTACTACTACCACATCTACTCCCGCAACTAAGAAAAGATGCTTAACCATTTCTTATTTATTTGGTTACTTCAGCGAGCTTATCTAAATCTTGATTCGAACTTTCTGGTGGTCGTCATCCAGCTTCCCTTGTGTCGCTGAAACACACCGCAACTTTTATAGCTAGCCCAATCTAGCAAGCCCTGCTTTCCGCTGCTCTTTTTCAAGCCCCCTTCATTTTTCAACAAAACATTTTGCTAATTCAAAGCTTGCTAGTCCTAGTTGCCCTGCATTCTCGCTGATCATCATTCGACTTGCTTAATTTTGAATGTTTCCTCACTAGTTCTTCTCCTCGTGTCTTTCCTTTCGGGGCATATTGGTGATAGTCCACACTAGTACTTTCCTCTCGTGCCTTCTGCTTTACACCCTCTTCGTGCTAAACCAGTTCACACTGGTTCTCGTCTTCGGGTCTCTCTGCAAACATTGCTTCTAGTAATCATTAGTGTTTTTCCCGTGCCTTCCGCGGCATGTTTGCTTCTGGTTGAAAAAGTCTCTGTTGGTACTTCTACGTGTCTCTCGGGACACATTGGTACTACTAATCAGTACTCCTCCCTCTCGTGCCTTCCGCGGCATACTTGCTTCTGGTTCAAACAGTCTCCACTGGTTCTTCTACGTATCTCTCGGAACACATTGGTACTACTAATCGTCACTCCTCAATCTCGTGCTTTTCGCGGCATACTAGCTTCTGGTTGAACCAGTCTCTGCTGGTACTTCTATGTGTCTCTCGGGACAAATTGGTACTACTAATCAGTACTCCTCCTTCTCGTGCCTTCCGCGACATACTTGCTTCTGGTTCAACCAGCCTCCGCTGGTTCTTCTACGTGTCTCTCGGGACACATTGGTACACCTATTCACTACTCCTCCCTCTCGTGCTTTTCGCGCCACACTTGCTTCTGTTCGAACACTCCGCTGGTTCTTCGTTTCGTGTCTCTGGTTCTTCGTTTCGTAATCACTAGTCCTCCCCTCGTACCTTCCGCTGCACACTTTCTTCTGTTCGAACTAGTCTCCGCTGGTTCTTCTCTTTGTGTCTCTGGGGACACATTGCTACTAGTAGTCACTAGTCCTCCATCTCGTGCCTTCCGCTGCACATTTTCTTCTGTTCGAACTAGTCTCCGCTGGTTTCTCTCTTCGTGTCTCTGGGGACACATTACTACTGTCTCTCGGTATACATAAGTTCTTCTAATCACTACTACTCCCTCTCGTGCCTTCCGCAGCACACTTGCTTCTGTTCGAACAAGTCTCCGCTGGTTCTTCTCTTCCTGTCTCTGGGGAGACATTGGTACTAGTAGTCCTTAATCCTCTCTCTCGTGCCTTCCGCGGCACACTTTCTTCGAGTTCAACTATTCGCCGCTGCTTCTTTGCTTGGTGTCTCGCGGGGCACTCTGGTACGAGTAGTCACTAGTGCTTCCTCCAGTTCTGTCCGCAGCACACTCGCTTTTAGTTGATTCATTCTGACTTGCGAGACACAATGGTGACTATCATTGCTAGTGAGTGGGCACTACTACTCGTTTTCGTGTCTTCCATAGCAAACATAAACACTCGAGGGCAGTTTTCATCATATGAGACTGTAATAAAACAACCCAAATGTAAAAAAGTACTATTAAAAAGTTCATTAACCAAGGGAATTACAAATATCATTCCATTGAAGAACTTGAACAGCAACTGACAAAGGAACTCTCTAATTAGGCAGATTTTGAGGAATTTCAGCAGACCCTCATTGAATAAATATCATGTATGATTGAACTTGAGAAAATTTTAAATGAACTGGCAATGTTTTTTTTTCCATGGAAGCAATAGATTTTCTTCAAAGAACCTCATGCTACGCAATCTTGAAAGCACCTATTGTTACGCAAAAGCTTCTCTTGTGTCGCTGAAACACACCGTCGCTTTTATAGCTAGCCCCATCTAGCAAGCCCTGCTTTTCGCTGCTCTTTTTCCAGACCCCTTCGTTTTTCAACAAAACATTTTGCTAATCAAAGCTTGCTAATCCTAGTTGCCCTGCATTCTCGCTGGTCAACATCCGGCTTGCTTACTTTTGAACGTTTCCCCACTAGTTCTCCTCCTCGTGTCTTTCCTTTCGGGATATATTGGTGATAGTCATCACTAGTATTTTCCTCTCGTGCCTTCTGCAGCACACCCTTTTGTGCTCGTGCTAAACCAGTTCCCACTGGTTATCGTCTTTGGGTATCTCCGCAAACATTGCTTCTAGTAATCATTAGTGTTTTTTTTGTACCTTCCGCGGCATACTTGCTTCTGATTGAACAAGTCTCTACTGTTTCTTCTACATGTTTCTCGGGACACATTGGTACTACTAATAACTACTCCTCCCTCTCGTGCCTTCCGCGGCATACTTGCTTCTGGTTGAACCAGTCTCCGCTGGTTCTTCACTTCGTGTCTCTGGGGACACATTGGTACTAGTAGTTAACTGTCCTCCCTCTCGCACCTTCTGCGGCACATTTTCTTGTTGAACCATTCGCCGCTGGTTCTTCGCTTAGTGTCTCTCGGGGCACATTCGTACTAGTAGTCACTAATGCTTCATTCAGTGCTTTCCGCACAACACTTAATGTTGGTTGATTCAATCTGACTTTCGAGACATATTGGTGATTATCGTTGCTATTGAGTGAGCACTACTAATCATTTTGTGTTTTCCACAGCAAACATAAATTTCTCGAGGGAAGTTTCTATCATCTCAGACTGTTTTAAAACGACTTATAATCAAAAAAGCACCAAGAAAAGCTCAATAAAAAAGGAAATTACAAATAACGTTTTGTTGAAGAACGTGAGCAGCAACTCACAGAAAATATGTCTAATTCAGCATATATTGAGGTTTTTCAGCTGACTCTCGGTGAATAACTATCATGAATGAAAAAATTTGTGAATTTCAGACCCTCAAGGAAAAACAATCATGAATGAATGAATTAGGCTGCGTTTTGTTTCCGTGGAAGAAATAGATTGTCGTGAAAGAACCTCCTGTTGCGCAATCGAAAAATCAATGTCTCAAAGAAATTCAAAAATCACGAAAAAAACTTTTGATTACCACGGTGATTGCTTTTCTGTTAGGAGTACTAACACTGTTCCCAACCATCAAAATTCGTTGGCATCAACAACTCTATTTTGTGTCTCCAATTTTTTTTAACTTCAACAGTGAATACAACATTTGTCACAGCTAGCACCTCAAACAGTCCTGTTATGACAAACAACTTCAGGGATCAAGGTCCATCTACTAGAGTAAAATTTCAATGTTGGAAGCCTATGCTATGACAAACATCAGTCTACGACCCTTAAAGAAATGACTTACAGTCATAATTCACCTCTCGTTACTCCGAGAAGTTCTTCTAGTTGTTTGCTGCGAGATCAACCTACAGAATTTTTGTGACAAAATGGTTTTAGGACCTTCCGAATCATCACCACATTCGACCCACCTGAACTAAATGTGAGCAGTTGTAGTTACAGTCAACCGGCTTATCTCGGACCCACAGAGCTTTCAGGCAACTCAAATTGCTGTAGCTTACGCTATCCACTCGAATGGATTCAGTGGTTTGTTTCAAGCTGCAGTTGTGAGCAATCCACGGAAAAGTCCGGTTGAAAAAAATATCATACTTGCAATCATTATGCATTGGAGATGGCAAATTTTTAACTAAAAGTTTCGTTACAAGCTCCAGTCAGTACAACCAAGCAAATGTTGAGCATACTAGACAATTTGGTAATCCCAATTTCATAGTAACAGCTTTTATCAAGCAACTAGAGGATTTGGAACAACATCTTATGCTCAATCCAATAACCTTCGTGATATATTCAGTTTTTCAACAAAAGCTTGTTTATAACTTCCGGACAAACAATTATGAAGCAAATCTTGCGTCGAGCATCCTCTCAGGAATCACTCGGCATATACTACCTCCCGTTGTTTTCATGAAAAATGAGGCGTTTTGTATCCTTCACGGTATAGATTACGTCACCTTGTATATTATACCATATCAACTTCAGTGATTGGCTGAACAATTACGCAAAAGCTTGTGAAAACTTAGAGGTAGCCTGAAAAACCATATACTGGAGGATCTAAATTTAAAGATCAATTCAAAAAAACAGGGATTGGAATCTCAGATAGGAAACAAAACGTTTCAATTC